GGTAAAAAGAAGAAGAAGAAAAATAAGAATTCGGCCAATTCGAGCAACACGGCGGTTTCATCGCCGGTGCAAAACAATGACACGTTCGTGAATGATCACATGATCGATGAACCAGCGAGGATACTGCACAATCCCGGAACTAACATGGTGACTATCAGGAACCCATCGTTTGGACCGATGAAGGTGCCACCGACACAGCAGGCTGCGATCATTAAAGTTTCGGAGAACGGCATGGTGACGATTCGAAGTCCGGCTCTGCAACAGGCGATCAATGCAGGCTTGACGTCACCACCTAAGCCGGATTACATAGTCAAGGGCGATCTATCGTCGCCATCGGCGGGTAGAACGACGACAACGAATGATTGTGGTCAGCTGAGTGTGAAACACGCCAACGGTGTCATATCATCGAGCCTGGCGGAATTGCGCAGTCGATTGAGCGCGCAGTCAGATTGCACGTCATCCTTGTCTGAGCTCGCCAATATCCAGATCAGCCAGATGACAAATGGCCAACCGATACCAGAGAACGGCATCAATCTCAAGGGTACCAGTGTCACCCTGACGAAGGTGAGACCCGAGGCAACGAGTATGGAGGACGCGCGACAGGCATCAGCGAAGTGTACGGTGATGAAAGAGATGGCGATAAACGCTACTTCGGCCAATGGCGGCGGAAGCAGTGGCAAGAGCAAGAAAAAGAAAAAACGCGGAAGCGGCACGGGACAGTGCGGAGATGACTTGGACCTCGTTGGTGAGAAACAACAATAATCAGACTTTAACATGTAAATCTGCTTCTTTCATTTTGTTTGTTTTCTTTAACACACGTTATACATTACACAAATACATTACACAGCACGCATCCTCCTCGGGTCTCACGTTCACAGCAGCTAGATCCTCGTTTCTTTCTTTTATGAAGGAAACTACCCATACGTATCTCCTTTGGACGCTTGTAGGTTCATCGCACTATAAACGATTTTGTTTCTTTCATTTCATGCCATCAAGAGAGAGCACTGCCCTACGTTAGGATATTATGTCATCTGCTAGGTCAAAAGATTTTTGAGATATCAAGTATTCGCGAATGAAAGAAGGAAAAGAGAATGGAAAGGAGAGAAAGAGATACTTCGAGAGTTGATTTCTTGAGGAGATCGCTGTAGGAAAAAAAGAAGGCAAATGGTCAGTGATCTTCTTTCTTTAATTTTTTTTCAGATCCACAAGATTTATTCCAATAATCCAAATCACTTTGCTCTTTTTTTTAAAGAGTAGTTAATTATGTCACTGTGTAGACATGAATTTTTGCGATCTTTATTTTTTGCCCCATTTGAATGCAGAACGTGAGGCAGTGCCGTCTCGATAAAGACGCCATGCAAATACAATAAAGATGAACGAATGTATGTGATAATGGAAAGATAGGGGACGGGAGAAAATTCATACACGATACAAGATTATTTTAAATCAGGAATTGAATTCCGAAAATAGTGTCAGCGGTAATACTGTGTATTGGTATTGCATTTTTATTTTGAAACTTATTTTAAAACTGCAATTAGAAACTTGTAATTATACTGGATTATTAGAATATATAATATCAAAAACGTTTCGAATTTATTCAAATATTATATCTTTTTTAAATATAATGATAGAGAGAATTTACTACAATTTATTGGATCTGACAGCATAGAATTATATTATATCAGTATTATATAATAATAACGTATTACACTGAAAAATTATCTGTATATTAATACATACATTGATATTTATATTGAATTAGTTTTATCGTATAAAATGATATAATAAAATGTATTATAAAAAATATATATATATTTATATTCTATATTTGTATGTATATA